GTGTGTGGGTGGTGGTGCAGGAGGAAATCAGTGGTCCAAATATAGGTACTTGTCAGTAAGGCTACAGCCTCTTCTTAAATAGGGGTATTTGTTTCTCAGAAACTTCCTCTTGACCTTCAGTGTGAATTACAAGAAAATATGTGAATATTGTTGCTAAACTCAGAACCACAATACATTTGCACTTTAACTGGTAAAATACAACTGAGGTGCCGTTGTATTCCAATGCTGGTGAATGGAATAGAAATAGCACGGGAGATATTCTGGAGGTTTTACATCAAGTAATTTCTAGCCAACACACAGCCCTTAAATGAGAAACTCTAAGTCCTGTTGGCAGAACGCTATGGAAGATAAATGTTGGATTCAAGGGTGTGTTTTCTGTTTGGCTGCTTACTGTTCATTGTTGGATTTTGTTCACCCCAGAAAGGCATGGGGTACAGTTTAGTGCTTTGCTTGGAACATGCCTTACCAGCAGAATCACTCGTGCCTGCACGGTAACAACTGGTGTGACTAATGACTTACTTATGTGTTATTCTCCTGTCCATTCCATTACAGAAGCTCTTTAGTGCGGATGTGCTTTTCATTGGCTATGCTGATCTTTCTTTCAGCCACTGTCTTACCAAGTGCCCAGAAAATGTTTTGAGGCTCTTGTTCTTCGTGGTACTTAACTTTCCCGAAACAGTGAGATATGTGATGTCTTTACCAAATTTACTCCTAACTTTGCATGGTCTAGCAGGCAGAATCATCTCTGTCTCACATAAATGAGACTAATCACATTAATTTCAGCTCAGGTAAAGAATTTCTGTTCAGTGTGATTTGCAGAATTCTTTTGTTAGCTGAAGGAGCCTTCAGCATGCAGTGTAGTAATAGTTTGTAGGGGTAAATCTAGAAATTGAAGTTTATGAATAGTAGTTTTGTTAAGGATTGTAGTGCTGTTATATACTATATGGCATATAAATATAATGCAGTGGGTGTTTTTCTTTCATTTTTTCCCCTCTTCCCACACAGAGTGTGTAGTGGCATGTCACAAGTTTGTCGAAGTCAATGCCCTGGGTCTAACAGTAGCTGCCCTTAGCAGCTATGATTCCAACATGAGAGCAGCCGCATATTTTGTCCTGGCTTCCTTTCGTTCTCATCTGGAAGGAGCTCGCTTTCGAGAGAAGAATCAGGTAAGACCTAGCTCAATTGGTAGATTGCCAGCTTAGACGTTTTAGGTTGTGGACACTTTAGGTCGTGGAGAGTTGCTGCTTTACTCATCCATCTACATGGACATGGTGAGAGAGCTAAAAGAAGCTTTTTATCCTCTGTTCCATTGTTTCTCCTCTATTGCTTTGTGTTTCCTCCTGTTATAATTGGCAGAAAAAGGGAGGAAAATGTGTTTTAGAAATTCGTAGGAATTTTATTTGTAGGAATGGAAATCGTAATGGCCTATGAAATACCCTAAAAAGCTTATTTATGTATGCATGCTCTCCTGTTGTATTTGTTTGGGTTGTGGTTCAAGCTTTTCTCCCCTGGGCTCTTGTGTATTGCAGTTGCTGTATCTCTTGGATGCTGTGCAAAATGGAATCAGGCAGCCAAACCTCAGATTTACCTTCTCTTTGACCCTCTACATTGCTCGTGTGGCACAGCAGATTCTGAAGCCAGGTACTGTATCCTGCTGTGCATGTTGAACTCCTGGGGTGTCACTGTGCACGGAGTAATGTTCTTGACTGATACTGGAAGGTGAGGTAGCTGTGACACTGGTAGGAGCCGTGAAGTATGCTTTCGTACGTTTCAAAGAAAACTTTAAGTGCTTGTGTAGACTGCCTTTCTAGAGAAATAGGAAATGCCATTTTGATTTGTGTATGAAACCAGTCCGATCCATCAGGGATGAAGCCACTACCTCCTCGTAATTTTGTGGTGGAGGTGGGCAGAGAACTAGATGAGTGTGCAGGTCCTGTTCAGCACATCAGAGTAGGTTGGCCTGAGTGTCCTTTAGTCCTTAGATGCTGAATCAACGTAAGTCACTGTTGCAAAGGAGAATCATAGCATCGGGGAGTAGTTCAGTTTGGAAGGGACCTTGTGAGGTCTCTAGCTAAACCCTCTGCCCAAAGCAGGGCCAGCTATGAGGGCAGACCACTTCGTGGGGCTTTATTCTAGAAAACCTTCAGACCTCTAGGCTGGTCCTAGAAAGCCTCCAAGGATGGAGACTGTACAGTTCCTCTGGGCAACTTGTTCCACTGCTCATTGGCGACATGTCTGGTCTGTAGGTTAAAAATTATGATTGCCTAACATGAAGTGTTAGGCTTGAAATGTGGAGAGATTTGCCTCTTTGCTGAAATCAGAGCTATGTTGAATGTTTGTCTTCTCACCTGCTTTGTGCTCACTCTGAATAAGCTTTTCATTTGGGGGAAGAGAAGAAGAGGGACAGCCAACGATATAATCAGCCATAAAGCAGAAGGCCTCCTTACTGTAATTAATGTACTGTTCTGACAGCTAGCTGAAACACTGCAAAATACAGGTTCCATTTATTTTTCTGCATGGTTGTGTATTGTGAATGTTGTCCTCCACAATAACCATTGTTTGCCTTCACAGAGGAGCACATGTATATAAAGGTAAACAGATTCCTACTGTCACACCAGTACTTGGACCTGAGGAAAGTACCAGGGTTTTTCCAGCTTTTCTACAGTTTTGATTTCGAGGTAATGTAAGAATTCCATCTTAGGTATCCACTAATTCTTCAGAAAATAATAGAAAAAGGCCATAAAAATGCAATGAAATTTTATTCTTTCATAGGTAATTAATTAGAGGCATCTTTGTTTTGTTTTATATTGAAATTAAAAGTATTATTTCTGAGTTTCTTTGTTGTTTTCTTAATAGTAACACATAATGAAATCATGAGTTGTGCTGTGTGTGCTCTGTAAGCACAACAAACAGAATGTTCTGGCCTAGCTAGGTTACATTCGTATTTTGAGTTTAGATTATTAGCGTTGAATTCAACTGAGGTATTTTGGAACTTTAAAAGTTGCTGTTTCTATTATCAGTGCGTGTTTGGGCTGCAGAGTAACTGTGCCTGATGGATGTTATTGATGGAATTTGATAGGGATGAAAATTGAGAAGTCCAGAAAAAGCTGTTAAGCACTGTGCTGGCACTCCAGGGAATCAGGTTTTTTGTGCTCTTATGAGCAGGCATTATTTTGAAATATCTGATGGTGGTATTTTTCTTATGGCTTCTAGTATAAAACAGAACGTGAGTGGATTCTCAGATTTCTTGGAGAAGGGCTGCGTGATAAATACTGCTACGAACTTTATGACTACCAGAGGATTTTCCAGGTCATTCTTTCCTTTTTCAACAGTCCTTTGTGTGATGAGGGCTCCCAGGTAAGAATTAAAAAACAAAACCAAAACCAAACCAACCAAACAAAAACCAAACCACACACAAAAAAAACCCCAAAACCACAAAAGTTTGCATGATTAGGAGATCTTGAATACAAAGCAGAAAAGAGCAGTTGACTCTTCCCTTGCCCTCTTGAAAATCTGCTTCTTGTTGATTTTGTGTATGCGTGGAGGGGGAAATAATTGCTTATGTCTAAACCAGAGTCACATCTTTGTCCTCTGAAATTGGAACAGGTCTCTGCCATCATGGAACCTCACTCAGTTTCATCAACTGGTGGTCTGGCTCTAATCGTATTTCTACTACTTTGTGGAGTATATTGCAGATATTGCAGTTTTGCTCATACGGTCAAGGCCTTTGCTTTTTTAGGTGTCCTTGTTCCCTAACCGGCATGTTACCTGTACAGTGCTTTAGCAGGAGGAAAACTCACATGCCAGAAGCTCTCATGTTCCTAAGCATCCACCCTGCGAAGTCCAGTATGTTAAAAGTATCTCAGTTAGGTATCAAAATCTTGGACAAAAAGAGACAATTGTCTTTCTACCTTAAGACGACTTTTTAAGAGTAGTGTCTGTGTGTATGAAGCCTTGAAAAGAGAATGTCTTCTTCCCTGGGATTGCTAAGAACTTGTGGTGTTTGGTAATACATTTTAACTTTTAAGTTGATCAGATCCCAGATACCAGTCAGATTGCTAATTATACCCTTCTGACAGATTGATAATAAGTAGATCCTGACTATATTCTAATTTTGTAAAAGAACAAATTACACTTTCTTTTTCAGAGTTGTATTCTGGAGATATTACAAAATGCTGCTCACGTCACCAGAGCTGCCTATGAGCTGATACAAGATCACAGCCTCCTAACCTGGATACTGCATATCTTAGAGAAAAGGTAACTAGGGAAATGCTAGTGAAATGGGAACAATTTTACTGTCCACAGTAGAATAGTTATGCAACCGAGTATGAAAACAAAGGTGACAGATAAGAAGATGGTCTGTCAGCGGTTGTGACATTTGGCACCTAGGGCAGAACTTGCCAAACTCTGAAGCATTCTCTTGTGTTTCTAAAAACAAAATCAAGATGCTTTCAGGTTGTACTAGGAGGGATGATAGGGGAGGTGGTGGTGCTTCATGTTTTTGATAATGGTTTCTTGAAAAACTTAGAAAACAAAATGGCACCTTATTTTAGTGTATGTGACTCTCATTCCAAATACCCACAATTTACATCCTGTCATAGGACCTCCTACACAGTCATTGGCACAATAATGAATTTGAGCTGTCTATAACATTTCTCCTCCCATTCCTTCCTCCTCCCTTTGCCTCTCCCTCACGTACCTGCATGTGTGCGCACACATGCACAAAATCTCTTTTGCATAGATTCCCCTGGCAGGTTCAAACGAGGTTTCAGGGTCATCTACAGTGCGATTTGCCTGAGCAGGTTCCCAGTACTGCTCCCCTGTTGTACACCTCTCTTTGGTACAGTTTGGTACGTTTGAGAGTGAAAAAACCTGGATTTGGTCTCTGGCATCCAATACTTATTTCGTGTTTGTATTTTTGAGAAGTATTCTTCTTGCATCCTCTGTACAAAATGAGATTGCTCCCTACCCCTCCCTCCCCACCCTTAGGAATACCAAAGTAAATATGGCTCCTGATACTGTGCTGTCAGCATTCCTGTTGTTACTTAAAAGTCTTAGCAACATAAGGAACCAAGCTGTCTTACTTTAGAGTAACTGCTCTAAAGAAACGGTGGCGATGGTTGCAATGTAATGGAATACTTGGCGGAGCTGTGTAATGAAAGATGCAAGTCAGAAATCAGTAGCCTCGTGCAGGGGCCGCGATACACTGCTGGGTTTCCCAGCCGTGGGATGGCAAGCGGAGGGCGGTAAGCAGGGCCTCTGTGTGGCTGGGGCTTCAGAGGGGTGCGCGCTCATGCCCTGATGGGGTCCTGGCTGAGAGGCACCTATTGCTACTCACGGCCCCAAAAGTGCACTAGAATACAGTCCCCTCTAGGTGATGGACTAGCTCCTGGTTAGGTTCTGCCTTCCAAATGGGTGTTTGCGTCTTTTTTTGTTTTTCAGGTTTCTGGAAAACAAGCTGTTGAATAAAATTATTTCTTTACTACATACTCTGTGGCTAACAAATTTGGGAGGCAAGAGAGAAAGCAAGAATCAATCCCAGGAGAACAGGAAGTTTCTTCCTATTCAGCTTGTAAATGAATTTCTGTATGTTTTGATCACATTAATCAAACACATTCGGTAAGTCCTTCTTTTTTTTTTCTTTTTTCTTTTTTTCTTTTTTGTTAATTTCCATCTCCTCTTCAGTCCAGTTTGAAATTTACTAAGGCCAGAAGGATTTCTTGATCTCTGGTAGTTTAATGCTTTTTTTTTTTTTTTCTCCTTCAGTTTGCATGTTGAGTAGTGAATTTTGAAGAGTTTTCTTTGAGAGGAAGGTTAGCTGTTTAAATACGTGGGGAATAAAATAACAGCTGATGCACAGTTACTGTCAAGTTCTACATCCTTAATTACTGGCCATTTTTAAGCTGCTATGTTTTACATTTTTCCTGCTGGATTAGAGCCTGCAGTTAGCAAAGCTATTTGCTGCAAGGATCTTTCATACTCTCTGAAGGTTTAGACTTTCTGTGTCTGTACCACACATGCAAACTATACAAGGAGAAACCGTGCAGAGTTCTGTGCGACAGTGTCAAGAAGGGGTCAGTCTCTTCTCTCCGGATCTAGAGCACTTAACCTGTCTAAGCACAGCAGTTGCAGCAGGGACAGTAGAAAGGAAATGGGTAACCAGTTCTGTTTGGGTTTGTAGTAGGCCTGCAGCTCTTCGTGCAGAAAAGTATTGCCACAGCCTGGAGAAACTTACGTTTATTTTTATTTCCTCAAAATTTTGAAAATTCACGCAAAACAAAGAAGCATAGGTAAAGCTCCAGACCTCTGGTCTTTTCCTTGTGTGCCATCTGTCTTTGCTATTCACAGGCAAGAGGGCAAAGACCGTGTTTCATGGTCTCTTCTGCCGGACACTAACGGAGCAAAGCACTGGGGATTCAGTGGGAATGAAACTAATTACTACTGGCGTCGTGAGAAACAAAAGTATATGCCTAGAGAACTGCAGGAGAAAACTGTAGGAAGAGACTGTAAGGGGAAAAAAACTGTACTCTATTTTATTAATTAGCATGCAGAAAAATAGATGGCACTTTTGTTTTCTTTTCATAGGACTAATTTAGATCTAGCCAAACTGACTCAGTTTTTCAGTACACTCCATTCTGTGCTGGAATATCGTGCTATAGTGGTTGAGGCCTTCAAAGAAATGAGACGGTTCACTGTGAATGATGGCGTTCTCTCAAACAAAGAGATCCTGCTGCTGCTGCATAAGTGGAGCATCATCGAAAAAGACCTGCAACTGCAAGAGGATGTGCAGACTCTTGCTCAGAAATACCAAATCAAAGAATTGCTTAGTAAGTACTAAAAAATTTCAGAAAAGTAATATTGTTGAGGCTGTTACAAGCTAACCATACAAGTGAGGCAAACTTTATAGGAAGTGGTATTAATAACTTTTGTCGGAAAATCTGATACAGCTTGAGGGAGGAGGAATGAAAATGGAAAGCCATTTTTCAGGTCTTCATTGTAGTAATTTCTAACTTTAACACAATTCTGGAAGCTTTGGAGAAACACAGTTTTAAAAAGGGAAGGAGCTTTAAAATGAAACTTAGTTGCAGATCTAGTGTCAGGCTTTGAAAAATTGTATTCTTAAATGAAATCTTAAAAAAAACCCCAGTGCCTGGAGGCTTTGTGCTTAAAGATTTGAATCATTCTGAGTGTGGATGGGGGATCTGAAAGTGAAATATGATAAAGATGATTGGTAAAGCAAGCAAAAATGAAAATAGTTAATTTTTCTTATTGTCATCAGTGTTGGAAGAAAGCAAAGTTAGACTTACATGACTTCTCTCGTTACCTCTGTGAATAAAATGTACAAGGAACTTTGTAGTGGGAGGTGTTAATGCTGGTTTCCTGCAAATAGAACTGCTACTGGTGCACATTAAAACTTCTATAAGTTTATTTAAATGTTCTGTATCAATTAAACTAATTATTAAAGTATCACTCTATTTAAGGGATACTATAAAAGCTTTAGTTTTTCTAAAGTTTTTCACACCCTTTTAGTGCCTTTCTGAGGATTTTTAGAGAGTTCCTATGGTGACATCTGTAACTTAATATATGTGTGGTTTTAAAACATTCTGTTGCTCCAAGCCTCAGGAGCTTGGAGTTACACAAATGGATCCTTATCTGAAATTTCATTTTTGAGGTGACATTTCAAGCGTTATTCCCAGCCCCCAGGAAAAAATGCTGGAATGTATTTAGTTCATTTTAAGCTGCAGAGTGCAACGTAATTGAAATTTCTGATGATTTTCTCAGTGACTCCTCGAAAGCAGATTGCTGTAAAATGCTCTGGGTGGTATGGCAGTGGCCAAGTGCGGTTGCTGTTTGGAAGCTTTGCCGCTCCCCATGACGCGGGCAGCATCTGACGGAGGGTGGTCCCGCATCAGAGTTCAGCTGCCTGTCTCTCCCCTTGGGCTGTGAAAAATTCACGTGCCCTTGGTTGACAGCAACTCGCCAGCCAGACGCTCAGCCAGGATGCGGCTGTGCTGGGTGGGGGAAGGCCGACGGCTGCCTTAGCCCACGCCATTCGAAAGCAAGGTCGCTGTGCTGGTACCTCCTTCCGTAGGCAGGCGTGTGCTGTGCCTTCGCAAGCCCCCAGAACAGCGGCTTCAGCATTTCTCATGAGGTGGTGTAAATAATGCAGCCTTACTGGCAAAACGGCATCTTGTGGACCTCTGAAATACTGCCTAGGCTTCTCTGGGCTGTGGGCCAGGGCCTGGCTGGCATTATTGCTCACCTCAAAGTTAGGCAATCCGGTTCAGAAAAGTGTTTTGGCCTGTGAGTCGCTGGGAGCTGCCTGTAGCCCGTTTGCGTAGGCTCAATTAGGCTGTGAAATGAGGCTAGTACTTACACTTTTAGCAACTGGATCAACGCATGGTACTGTCTTTCTTGCGTAATTTTGTACCAAGAAAATCCTTTGGAGTATCTGATATTTGTTTTGGTGGTGTTTTTCTTCTTACAGAAAACATTAAGGAAAAGAACAAATCTCAAGCCTCATCTCATGCGTATCATCGCATTCGGAAAAAGCATGAGGTAGAAAGAGAAGACGACACTGCTGCAGACCTGAAAGTCTCCGAGCTGGAGAAATGCAGAGGTCATCTCAATGCCATATTTGCCCATTGGGAGCCTGTTTTCCCAGCACCGCCTACCAGACACCAAGGGGAGCCCCTCAAATCCACTGACCTTGCGGATGAAACAGTCAGTCTAACCTGTGCGTCCGCTTACGTAGTAACTCAATGGCTCATAAAGTCCATGGTTGAACACAGCCTCAATACGCAAAATGTTTCGTTAACTCTACGGTGGCTACAGAATTGCATCTTGCCACACCCAGTGGCAGTGCAGGAGGTGCTCAGGGATGAGACATTGAGAAACAACATCTTCAAGTTTTACACGCAGATCTGTGAGGCCAGCAGTGGGACAGCAGAACTCTTTAAAGAGCTCTGTTCGTTCAGTTCAATCATGCTTCGCCTAATGGATGCTCAGGGCCTGACCAACAACAGCTGTCATGAACTTGTGAAAACATTGTGCCTGTCGGCAATGACGGAAGAGGATGCAAACAAGAAAGGTAACTCATCTTTTCCTTTTCACTTACGTTACAAGGCAGTAATGGTAGAAAGTGGGGAGTTCCATGGGGGTTTTAATTCATCAAAACAGTTTGAAGTTTGTCCATGTCTGTTGGTGCTCATAACTTCACAAAATAAAAGCTGTGTCTTTGGTGGTATGGGCAGAGGGGTTGGTAGCACAGAGTAGGGTCACACTGTAGGGGTTTCTGATAGTACTACAGTCATACTCCCTCAAAGAAACATCCCTCTCTAGGACTAAAATGGAGTTCAGCAAGGTATAAAAAACATAATTCCAAGGGGAAAAATAGTCTGCAACAAATGAGTTCGTGTGGGTATGGGTTCTGATCCACAGGCTGTTCAGTGTTACCATTTGATAGCAAAAGCTGCGAGTCAGATTTCAAAATTTTTTATTTAAAGAGGTCAGAAGGTTGTGTTAACAAGAAACTGTTTTCTTTCCTTAGTGGGAGGAAGATCATTGGCTTTGCATGGGCAAAAAAAACCCCACAAATTTTCCATCTAGGAAGAGAGTTAGGAAACTATTTTAAAACATAGGTCTGGAGGTAGAATTATTTGGTTTTGTATTACTATGTGGAAATAGAAGAATATCTGTCCTGATTTTTCTCTAATTTTTCTTCCACAGCTGTTTGTGTATTCCTGACTTCTGTTTACATTGGGGACATATGGCTTGGAGCACAGGAGCCAGATATGTTAATAACCCATGTCAAATTGATCTGCAGTAGTACAGATGATAAATTAAATGATGACTTGGAAACTCATAAACAAGGAGAAGAAACTATTATGCCTCTTTGCAAAACCCTTCACTTGGCTGCATTGGGGCATTAATTCAGTGAACTGACACTTAATCTTTAATGCTATGTGTTCTGCCATCGTTGCTGCGAGCCATGAAACCCTTCTGAACTGTTCCCCATACAAATCTAACTTGTTTTGTCATAAAGATCAATATTTTATTACCGTGTGCAAACTCAGAGGGGGAAAATTGTATTCATCATCTCTCCATGGAACATTAAAGCCATAATTTCCCTTTTCTTGAACAGTATGGGACACTGAATGTTATTTATATCATTTTTATTACAGGCATTTTTAACTTTATGAAGAACCAAAAAAGACTGATTAGTGCATTGCCTCTGGACTGTATTTCAGTCTCCATGTAGTTAAAATCCATCCTCTCCCCAGTATAAGTTGGGAAAAAAGACTGCAGAACTTCACCAGTAGTCGGAGGCTTAGCCACGATGATTTACTATTCCTTCATGAACCCAGTTTCTTTCATGATATATGATACCAAAACCAATATGAATAGAAGACTGAACACTGGAATCATGATGGTCTGGGATTCTTCTTCTTGTTTTTAAATTAAACAGCTTTTGAGAGCGTTTATATCGGAGCTGGTCTGTTTCTATTCTCCTTTCTGTTTGGGTGTTGGGTTTTTTTGTTAAGTTAAAAAAACCCGACCATCGCTGCTGCTGGGACTTGCAACAAAGGCCCATCTTCTCTCTACTCTGAAAAGATGAGAGATGGAACTAAAACCCAAATGACTTGCTGCTCATTGATTATACACGTTTCTTATTGGAAATTCTCTGTGAAATCTGGTAAGTATTTCTTGAATGTGGCCTCGAGGGCAGTTTAACATACCATTCCAGATATGCAAACATGCAGAGCCTGAACGTGAACCTTTGAAATGTAAAACAGGATTTATTAAATTGACTCATGAATATGTGCTGTACCTAGGTACTTTGTACAAATTCTGTACAGGGAAAAAATCAAAAATGCATACTCCTTGCGATGTTTATTTAATTGGGTGGGGTTTTTTAAATTTTAAAAAAAGTGAGATGCAAATAATGAGGATTGCTTCTACATATAAATACTCTTGTGCTAAAGAAGCCATAATATGTATATCAAGACTTGATTTAAAAGTAACAAATATTTCTTGAAAAAGCTGCAAGCCCATTAGAGGCTAACTTTTGTGTCATATAAAATCCCTAGGGTCTGACATCAGGAAATCTTTGTGATGGAAAAAAACCCTTATTTTACTTAATCAAAAAACAGGGAAAATGAAACCAAAGCACTTCAAAAATGAAAGATGTCTTTCCATCTCATCTGACTGGAAAAGGAAATACTCATGACACATAGAGGAGGAGTTTCTCAGCTGTCTTGAGGGACTGAGCACATCTAACAGTGGTTTATAGTATGATTTGCTTGAGAGAATTAAATAAATGAGGGAAGACCATTAAACCAACCTAAGGACAGTAATGCAGAAACATATTTTCTGTACCCAACTCTATCTTAATTGGCAATAAATTGAATTAATTTTCCCCAAGTTGAGTCTGTTTCGCCCATGATGGTAACTGGTAAGCAATCTCCCTGTCTTAATCCTGACCCATGAACTTTTTAATCCCATTTTCCCCTCCGGGTCCTGCTGAGGGGGAGTGAGAGAGTGGCTGGGTAGGCATCTGGCAGCCAGCCAAGGCCACCCCCCCCCAGTATGTAATGTGCTGCACTGTAGCCGCTTCCCATCCCTTAATAAAGTAACGAACCCCAAATCCTAAATGCCACAGCCCAGTTGTTACACACTCTGCAACAAGTTGCAGGCCCCGAATGTTTTTGGGTGTACACTTGCAGTGGCCTTTCACATGTCCATGTTTGCAACTGTGGTACCTGCAGGAGCAGAATTCATGTGTTGCAGCTCAGCCCGTTGGAAGAGTGATTCTTGAGTGAGATCTAATTCTAGAAACAGGCAGAGCAGATGCAAAGAGGTGTGCTAAAGCACTTGTGCTTTAACAGGTATTTGCACACCTTGATCTTTTTCTCTGTGGATGGAAATAGTGACTTCTGAATGCAGTTTTGTCACTGCTAAAATAAGGAAGGTAACTTTCGAGCCTATGGCAGGCTTTAGCTAATGAGATGCACGGTGCTGTAGCAGTAGAAGGTAGTATCAGGAGACGGTGACTACGACTAGGGCCAGTCATGCACGCTGGAATGCTCTCCTTGCAGTAGTGCACCTAAATCCTGACCAGTTGCACACGAATCCACCCTAAGGTTTCATACTCAAATTATGATTTTCTGAAGGCCTTAAGTATTCAGAAAGGCCCAGCAGCGAGCACTTTCTCTCTCGCTTGTAATGTTTTGTTAGTATTTCCAAACCGCTATCGCCAAAATACTCGAGGTTGGAGAAGAGGATTGTTCATATGCATTTCTTTTCCTTTTCTTTTGAATGGTAGTTTTGGAAACAGACAAGATGAATGCAAATGAACTGACAATTTGAAGCTACTAGCCTGTCATGTAAAAGATGTATGGCTCATGTGCTTATCAGTAAAGAGAATGTAGCTGTGCATGTGGAAAATTTTAAAAATACGGCTTTAATGTCTCGCTGCCTCTGAGCTTCAATGCATTCTAGTAATGTGGTAATTAAAAGATTGTTATGAAGTCCTCCTGGAAATAATGGACAAGTACCTTTAAAAGCCATAGATGGTTAGCAGTTGAATGATTTGTGTGTGTGAATTACTGCCAACATATTCAAAATGCATTTTAATAAATTATATAGATGGAGAGTCATTATTTTAAGCTTGATTAAAATAAATTTTTGGAGAGCATTTAGAAATGGAAAAGTTGCTCCATATATGGGCCTACATTTTAAAACAAGGAGTTTCTACAGTTTAACACAAGTTACCTCACTTCGACGCTGTTGGGCTGAGAACTGTGTGGATGAAGCTCCAGAGCACTCTGCAGCGGGCCCACCGGTCTGGGCTGCCCTCACAGAAGTCATTGCCAGGAGACGCCTTTTAACTCTTTCACTCAAAATTCACAAAAACTCAGTGAAGTCAACAGCCCAGAAGGTTTGGGGTAGCATTTTTGAAGAAGTCAACTATGTCTGAACCAGCAGCATGAGCTGATTTGGGTCACGCCTTGTTGACTGTTGGGTGCAGCATTCCAACCCTCCGTGAAGGCGGCAGAGCGGACAGGGAAGGCCTCGGCTAAGGGAGGACTTGAGGAAGGGGAAGTAAAGTGCTCGCTGTGGGGCCTTGAAATGGGTACATATGGAATTGTCAGAAGGAAATGCGTTTCTCTCTTCCCCCACTCCCCTCCTCCCAAGTTAGGTGTTGTAAGATAGGCTTGCATTTTGCCTATTATTTATTACTGTTTATATACTTTATGCCTTCCATTTCCAGGTAATCTGAAAGGGAAAAAGAAAAGTCTTTTCAATGGTTATGCACTTAGAGTAACATTCCAGTGCAACTAGTGAAAAAACACCAGTTGTTATGAATGGGAGTATTCACATCTTTCAGAAATCCCCTTGGAATCCATTTCTAGAGAAGAGGTTCTTGAAAACCAGGGTGCTCGGAGTCTGTCGCGAGTCAGGGAGGATGCTGGGGCAGACGGCACCGGCAGGCAGCGCAGAACTGTTGCAGGAGAGGTGTCCTCGCTCAGGGTAGACGGCTGTGGCAGGAATGACCAAAGTGCAGTTGCTGCATCCTTGAGGAGGAAAATGGGTCTAGATGGTCGGGTCCTCTTCACACTGTCTTTAATGATACTGTGTGATCGCAGTGGGGTTAAAGGTAACTCCCAATTTGCAGCGGGAGAGCTGGTGCCAACCAGGGCATTGATTCATGTCTCCTGTGAGAACCACCTCAGCGCTCGCAAAAGGTAAGGGTATCTGAGGGGAGGGGAAGGCTGTTGTGGCCCTCTGAGTTGGCTGATGGAAATGTTTGTTTTTCTGATGTAGCTCTGTCCATGTTGCACTTTCAGTTCCTGCAGCCTTTCCTCATTTTCTCCATCTGCCCATGACTCAGTCTGACTCAACAGACTTTAAGCTGTGACAGGTTTTCAAGCCCGACATCAGTAGTAGTCAGTTTGCTCAAAAAGCAAACTGCAGAAGTGTTTATCTCAGAGATTAAAAAAAAAACCCACCACAATACAAACATATGCCTGGTGGTTTGGTCTGTCTCTTGTGTTTAAGGCTTTTTTAACACAGCCCAACCCACCCACTCTCTGGTAACATCAGAGCCCACGCTCCCTGCACGCTGCATAAGGCTGCTCTGGCAGTGCTTCAGGGTAGGAGTTTTTGCTGCCTGCTTGGGGAACGTGGAATTTCTAAGCTTCTCCTCAACTTTCGAATGAATTTTATGTTGTCCTCAGCCCAGCAACTAGCTATGCAGTCTTACATCTGTTCCAGCCCTCGCTGCCTTCCTCAGCCCGACCCTGCAGTCCCAGCTTGGTGCTTACTGGAGCTCCAAGGGTTCCTCACTCTCTCACGGACAGTTGCCTGGTTCTGCCTAGGTTTGGTGGAGCTCCACAGGTGAGGGGAGGTGGGGAGAGCAGAGGCCACTGAAGCGGGGGGCTGTGCGAGTGGCCCTTCTGAATCTGCTCCAGCTCAGCTAAACCCATCCTCCCCACCTCACCGAAAAGCTGCTGTGACCCTCACGGAGGGCTGTAGCTTCTGTTAAACGATTTGTCAGCCCCAGCTGAAAGCAGGCAACTCATGCAGAAATGCAATGTTGCCTTTGTGGTTATGCCAGCATTCTCCTTTGATATACAATATGGTAAACACACTTCCCTTTTTCTAATGCGTGGGTAACTGGCAGATACCATTTCAAGATTGTTCAATATTAACAGTTTCTTTTCCATCTACCATTTCAAAATGGAAGCAAAAAGTAATTAGTTATTGGTAGCAAAACTGTATTTATGGGTGCTGGGTAAAGCTAATGACTTTATTCTCACTCGAGATAGTGCTGCCATTAGCTTTTTAAAGGCTGTTCTAGGAAAACAGTGTTTTAATAAATTTTAAGTAACTCAAATATTTTTTGCAATGGAAAAGTAAATAAAAAGCA